CGGCTTCTGGACGGCCGCTCACAGTGGCTGCTGGGCGCTCACGCTGGCTGCTGGCTACACACAGTAGCCCATGACAACCCACTGCCACAGGGACTGCAGCCTACGCCGTCGCCGGCAACTCAAGGCAGCCCAGTTCCAGGTTGAGCTGTTGTTCAGCATCTCAGCTGTGGAGGGCAGCGTCACTGGCCCTCACATGTGGGATCCGAACCGGGACCCTCTGGCGTCCCAAGCCAGCTCCTAACCATCGCGCCACTCAGCCGGCCTTGTGGGAAGATTTTTTTAAATTTATGTAGAATGGTTTTTAGTAACAGTTTCAATTTCTTTAATAGATACAAGCTATTCAAATTTTCTGTTTCTTATTGTGTCAGTTTTGGTAATTTGTGTCTTTCAAGAAATTATAACAGATTGTAATCTGTTAATATCTTTTATTTTAATTCTCAGATTATTTCATATTGGGCTAATGAGAGCCCCTTTAGGCTGACATCTGTGGCCCTCTGACATATCGCCATCATTCCTTGAGTGTTTCCAGTCTTATCTTGTATTTTTCCTGTCCAGTCCTGGAATCAGCCATTTTTCCAGGGAGCTATGGTTTCTTTTAGAGCAGAATGGCATTTAGAATCCAACATTTAAACAGTAACTTGTATTTTACATCTATATTTATATATTTTTAAAACCATGAGTTAACATTAATACCTCCAGTTCCAATCCAACACCACAGAGTTCTAGATTTCTTCCTTTTCATATTTGTAATTCTCTTTTTTTATAGTAAGACACCTGTTTTTTTCCTTTCAGCACTTTAAAAATGTTCCCTTATCTTCTAGCCTTTCTTTGCTTATAATGTCAAGTCTGCCACTATTTATATTGTTACTCCCATATATGTAGCACCCCTTTTTTCTTTGGCTACTTTCAAGGTTTTGTCTCTGTGGTTTCAGCAGTTTTGACTGTGTTAGTTTTGTTTTCTTTATAAATAATCTCCCTGGGGTTTGCTGATTTTAGATCAGTAAGCCAATGGTTTTTACCAAATTAAAGAAATACTTATATTTTTATAACTTTTTTTTGTTCCCCATTCTCGCCTCTCTCCTGGGTCTTCAAGTAAACATATGTTAGATCATTGAAAATTGTCCCACAGATGACTGAGATTCTGTTTACTGCATTTTTCCCCCCTCTATTCTTCAGTTTAAATAATTTCAATTGATCTGTCTTTAATTTCAATTACCCTTTCTTCCGTCATCTCCAATCTGCTTTTAAACCCATCCAGTAAATATTTATTTTCAGATAATGTACTTTTAATTCTAGAATCCCTGTTTGGTTCATTTTAGATTTTCATTTTTCTAGTGAAAATTTTACATTTCAAAATTTCCACTGTGACCATATTTTTCATTTAAGTTGTTGAACATATTTATTATAGCTTCTGTAGTGCCTTTATGTAGTTTCCTACAACTAGATCATTTCAGGGTCATTTTCTGTTTGTTCCTTTTTCTCTTGACTACAAGTCCCGGTTACCAACTGCTTCTCGAATGTCTTGAAGTTTTTGATTATATAGCGGACATATAAATGATACATAGCAGTCTGGAAAGTTAATCTCTCACTGATTAACTTTCTCACTGGTACTTGTGACTTCATAGAGTCTGGGTTTGCATTCATTAGGGCAGGTGTGTTTTGGTTTTGCCCTTAGTCCTAAAGCAGATCTCTTAGCCCTAAGACTTATTCTTTAGTCTCAATGCAGGATCTTTCCAAGTGTTCATTGGAAGGTTTGAGGTGCTTATTAACCCCTTCTAACTTAGTAGGAATCAAATTCTAAATTCTGTCTCCACTCATGGGCAGCAGCTAGAATCTCTGCTCAGAGCTTTCCGTCTTCTGTTACTTTCCATTGGAATCCTTGGAGTCTCTCATTTATGTAGTTTGGGGGTTAGCCACGGATTTGAGGGGGAATTTATATGAATGTTATGATGCTTCTTCCTTCCCCCATGGCTCTTTCTATTTTCTGTGATTTCTCTTCTCAATTTTCAGCCACTATGGCAGCCCTGAACTCCATCCTCTGACATCTCAAGCCAATAGACTGTGGCTTTCTAATTGAATTTTAGTCACCCTGCACCAAGTGGACTGGTAAGTACCCTTAGGGGAAAAGCACATAAACATGGATCTCATCCAGAGTGGTTGTCCCCTTTCAAGGTCAGTCCACTCCTCCCCCCAGTTTCTGCCTACTTTAGGTCAATCTCCTCCCTTTAAGTAGTTCTTTTAAAATACTTCTTCTGTGGTTTGTAATTGTTATCTCAGGAGAGTTAATCCAATACAACCGTCTCTGCCATTACTAGAACCAGAACTCTTTGGCTTCAAGTTTTATTTTATTCAGTATATATACTCATTACTTCATAAATGTCTTTTTAAAACACAGAAAATTTCATTTAAAAAAATTGTGTTGTCTGTACCTGAATAGTAAATGTTTGTGGCATTAGTAGTTGCAAAAGAAGTACTGAACCCTGAGCCCAGAATATAAATGTACTAATAATCCCTATATGTTAATGTCAAATGATCCAATTGATTCTTTTAAAATGTGTGTTTTGAAATAATTTCAACTTAAATGATATAAGAATAAACCAGTTTAAGTGTGGATACATTTAAAAAGTTTAACTTGCTTAAATGGAAAACCAATTTTATGATATTTTTTGTGTTGTTTTTTTTTTAATTTCTTTTTGTCTACAAAAATGTCCACACTCTTTCCGAAGCATGATAATTGAATTATTTAAAATATGTATGCATCCATTGCTGATATAAATAAATGAATAAATAAATGGGAGAAATCACAGCTCTTCCTTACAGAAAAATTCCAGTTAATAAATGTAGAAGGAAAGGAGAAACTTTAAAATTACCATTAGAATATCACAGTAAAATTTACCATAGACAAGATCCAGCAATGGATGCTAAAATTAGCAGGCAAAATTGAAGCAGAAACAGAATATTTGCAGAGTCCCAAAGTGTGACCCCAATATTTAGTAATTCCTAAAGGAAAAAATAATAAGCTTACAATTAAAGAATCCTAGCACACACGACCTTAGGCAAGTGAGCAAGGTTAACATCACCGGAAATATTCATCAACATACCTCCTGACTTGACGCATTGAGAAGGGCACAGCACCTCTGCGGGATCCTTCCCTAATAATATATGACCTCAATTTGATCGTGAGAAAACATGAGACAAACCCAAACTGAGGGACATTCTATAGATTAATTAGTACTCTTCAGAAGTGTCAGTTATGAAAGATAAGAAAAAACTGAGGAATTTTAACAGAGGAGACGAAGGAGCCATGACAACTGAATGCAACATGAGTTCTTGGATTAGATCCTGAACAGAAAAAAGGACATAAGTAGGAAAAGTGAAACTCAAATTCTTTATATTGTACTACGTTAATTCCTTAGTTTTGATAAATGTTCTGTGGTAATGTAAGACATTCATACAGGGGAAACTGGGGAAAGGGTATACAGGAACTCATACCTATTTTTGCAACTGTCTTGTAAATCTAGAATTTTAAAAAATGGGTCTTTCCTATTGTTATATTTACGAGATTGCCTGTGTCTTCAGGTTTTTTTCCTTAATTTCAACACACATATTTATACCAGTAATTCTCAAAGAGTGTTCCTAGATTAGCAGCATTAACATCAACTGGGGGCTTTTTAAAAATGCAAATTCTCAGAAGCTCTGGGAATGGGGCCTAGCAATCTGTGTTTTCACAAGCCGTCCAGATGATTCTGATGCTCACTAAAGTTCGAGAACCATCCTTCGTACCACCAGTAAAAACTTAAGACTAAAAGGAAACATTTGTATTAATATATTGGCCAGTTATTAATAATGTTTGCTTACCATAAAGTATAACCGTTATTTTTTTTTAATTTGTGGTAAAATACATGTTAGCATAACATTTACAATCTTAGTAATTTTTTAATATACAGTTTAGTGGTATTAAATACATTCACGTTGTGTAACCATCATCACCATCCATCCCCATAACTCATTTCATCTTGTAAAACTGACTCTCTATACCTGTTAACCTGTTAAACAATAACTCCCCATTCCTCTCTTTTCCCAGTCCCTGTTAACCACCATTCTACTTAAGTCTCTATGATTTTGGCCACTAAATATCTCACATAAATGAAATTATACAGTATTTATCTTTTTGTGACTGGCTTATTTCACTTAGCATAATGTTCTTAAGGTTCATCCATGTTGTTGTATATGTCAGAATTTCCCTTCCTTTTTAAGGTTAAATGCTATTCCACTGTATGTATAGACCACATTTTGCTTATCCATTAATCCATCAATGGACACTTGGGTTGCTTCCACGTTTTAGCTATGGTAGATGATGCTGCTGTGAACACAATGTACAAATGTATCTTCAAGACTGTTTTCATTTATTTTGAGTATATACCCAGAAGTGGAATTGTTGGATTATTTGGTAATTCTATTTTTAATTTTTTAAGGACCCCCCCATCATACTGATTTCCACAGTGGCTGTACCATTTTACATTCCCACTAACGGTGCACAAGGGTTCTAATTTTTCCACACCCTCTCGACACTTTCTGTTTTGTTGTTTTACTGGTAATCATCCTAATGGGTGTGAAGTAGTATCTTATTTTGTTTTGATTTTCATTGCCCTACTGATTAGGGATGTTGACCATCTTTTCATGTGCTTGTTGGCCATTTGTATGTGTTCTTTGAAATGTCTATTCAAGTCCTTTGCCCATTTTTGAATAAGTAACACCGCTACTTTCCATACATACAGTGAACCACTGCTGCTCACATACTTGTTCATGGGCACATCACTGGCTCTTGTGGGCTCTCTGTTTGCTTGCCCCTGTCTGCCTTGTCCCTCAGCTCCCCTATATCTGGAATTTACACATAGGATCCATTTGCATGTTGATTTTGAGAAATAGGGCAGAATTTGAAAACTGTATATGATAACATTTCAATATTTAAACCTGTTTCCAAAAAATTCTTTTTACAGACTTACAACAGCTGTACCAGACTCTGCTTAAACCAAGAAACAGTATGTCTAGCAAGCACTGCTATGAAGACTGAAAATTGCGTGGCCAAAGTAAGTAATATTACTCATCAATACATATTATACCACATCATAACAATGCTTTATCTATAGACATCTTCACTCAGTATTACTATTAAAGATTATTACAGGACTTTATATTTTAAAAAGAATACAGCAGGCATCATTTTGTCCAAATTAGATTGCAAGTTGGAATTTCCATCTCGTCAGTTGCAACAGAATTTTTTTATTTGTATTCTGGTCACATTTTAGTCTAAATCACATTTGTTGCTTGACACTAGTTATGGATTTTTGTAGCAAAGAATGGAGACTACATGATACTAATAATAACAGTAACTGAGAACCTGAATGTATAATACAATAGATTAAAGTAAAGTAGTGAAAGTTGAGAATGTTATTGCAAATAAGATTTGTATAAGAAAATATACAATTATTTTTATAAGTTTGTTCATGGTTTTTAAATGTAATTAAATTTAGAGTATACCATTTTAAGGATTGTAAAATAATGCTATAGAAAGTCTAATTATTATATCACTATTATTTATTGAGTGGCTAGTGATAGAAATATTCCTTTTGGTGATCTTGATCTGTGTGGACAAGTATGTTTAAATCATACATATGAGCTACTTCTTCCTCCTGTATAAATGTGAGCCATATCTATAGCCTAGATACAAAAACAATCTTACGTGTTAGAGATCTTACAACTGAATAATCATATCAACTATGACTCAAATTTTCTAAGTATCTAATTACTGAGGAACTTTGACCTAAATTTAGATATCAACCATTTTGATTGTTTCAGGAATAAGTAAAATCCAGTATGGACTCTCTTTCTAGACTTCTACTTTGCATATCTGCAAAATTACTGCCTTTATAACTATTCAGGGATTTGTCACTATTACAACATTTCCAACTTTAATTTACTTTAATCTATTGTATGATACATTCAGGCTCTCAGTTGCTTACTGTTATTATTAGAGCCAGGCCTGGTTTCATGAAGTCTCCATCCTTTTCTACAAAAGTCAAAGGATAGTAATATTTTTTATTATTTTTATTTTATTTCTTAAAACATGCAGTGGTCTCTGAACCTACTTTATCAACTGAAAATATATCATAGAAAATATAATCATTGGAAATGATCCACATAATAAATGTCAAAATTTATTAAAAGTTATAGTTTAAAAGATAGTTAAACACTTTTAATTGTCTCTTAAATTAGAATGTCAATAATTTGCTGCAAAATATGAATATTATAAGTTACATATATATTTTTTCAGTCATTTAGTTATAACTATCAAATGCTGATTGGCCCTGTTTTATATCCAGCATTTGTACATTGAGATGTGGGACCAATTATTTGGGCCTTTAAAAATAATCTGTCTCCTATTTGGCCACACTGCTCTCAGTTTCATCACAAGTGGGTGACTTCTGGCTAAACAAGGTAAAATCTTAACATGAGCACCGATCCAAGGACAGGGTGACGATTTTAATGAGTTTCATTGAGCCCTGGCCAAGTGAGCATCTGTTCCTTTTGTTTTCTCTGTACTTTGTAAGCCAGGATCCCTAAGCTACATAGTTATGTTGTTGTGGGTCTGTATGATGTGGTGTTTGTTGTTTTTTCTCTCCCACGACCTCAGTGGTGCATGGTTAGAAATCTTCTGGCATCTGGCACAATGGCATAATTCTTCTATGCTCTTGGGTGAGGAAATAAGTTTGCTCATTGCTGCTTATCAGTCTGTTTCCTTTGCTCCCAGATGGTGACCCTGTCATTCCTTTCTTGCTTATTTTAACATTATTCTGACACCTATATTCTTTTATTGTCTCCGTAAATACCCTAATTTAATAATGATTTCCTGTTGGAACTCATCTAACTTTCTGGTTTCTTTTATTGGCTCACATCCTGTCTCAGGGTTCATTGCTTCAGAGTTGAGCCAAATAAACAGTTGATCAATGGCAAATAAAAATATGTAGCTGGAAATTTTTTTCCTTGCAACCGCCTCCAGTGAGATACCAATAACATGGGAATAAGGAAAGTTTTCCCTTTTTTATTTACATGTGTTATATGTATCTCATGATTCTGTGCTGTTTCTGTTGGCCTCATTTATTGCTTGACCTTTGAAAGGTAATGACTTCCTATTATTTTTGTAGGTCTGTAAGCTTGTCCCTATTTCCTACTCTTCACCTTTAGCTCTTAACTGAATAGTTTCTTCTGTGTTACACTTGATATGGCTGCAGTGGTTTTTAACTTGGTACAAATGTCTGTTGATTCTGATTTTCTCCATGTGAGAGCAACTATAATCAACCATTTTTGTCTCTAGTTCAAAGCAGTTAATTCTGATAGGAGTGCCTTTGGTTTGGGTGGAGATAGTAAAGTCTAAAACCTTATTATTCAGTACTGTCTATATGAGTTTTAGAGAGGACATTAATATGTTATTCCCTTAAAAATAGCAACTTTGTTACAGTTGGACCCCATAGTACATTGTATGTGACTCTTCACTGCCAGAGATACCCTACAATAAATGTTACACAGTGGGTCTATGGAAAGGGACCCATTAGTCCTCCTTAGAATACAAGAAAACAAAGTTGTCAAACAAAGTACAGCCACCCTAGGTTAATAATCTTCTGAATCTCTAACTTGAAGAATGAGGACTAAGAAAATATTTAAAAATAAAAATGGAGGAAAGGTCATTTTACTACTATAACTTAATCCAAGTAATATTTGGAGGCACTGAAATGTCTTTTATTTTCTTTCAAAGCCTTTCTTCTTACTAATTATAGACCTGTAGTTCGTGAGATTTGTGTTTGGAACATGATGAGCTTTGTATTTATTGTAGCTTTAACTGGACAGTTGTTATTGACTGCCAACTTAGTCTTTAAAATCAATAATTACATTGTACCTAATTGTCAAGCTTCACGATGTTTTTTAATTGGTAAAGAAAACTAACTGGAAAAATGAAGAGCATTAATTCTTTGTTATCTTTTAATTGACTTTATTTAAATACTACTGAAAATTTTGGTTTCAGATTTTTCCCTAATTTACCCTTATCCGCGCGCGCACACATACACAGCGTTAAAATTGAGTTGTTTGAACACATCTACCTCGATTCCTGCCTAGGTAGGAAGAAGTTCTGCCTCTGTTTCGAAATAAGCCCCTTCAGTTGTCCTTGGTAGATGCTCTGTATTCTAGTTGTTGTTATTGTTTTTTACTTGAGACTAATAATCTGTTTCCAACTGACTGAGACAAAAAAATGTGATGTTCCTTTCCACTCACTCCAGATTTTGATAGAAGACTTGTTTTATTTATTTCCAAAATTATATCCGCAGGAAACAAGCTGTTTAAATTCAGATTATGCTGAAGCAAAATGGTCCTGGTAAGAGAAGCAACATGCTGTTTTACGAGCACAGAGTCCCTTTTCTCATAACTGATTGATAGTAAATATTTTCCTGAAGAATTATTGCCAACCATGAACAGTGCAACTGTTTCACTTTTTTTCCGTGCTACTTGCTGTACCAGCCATTGTCGGTAATTAAGATCTACAATTCACAATGCAGACGTTTGCACTTCCTCTGGGTCTGTGCTATTTATAAGGCATTTCAGCTGTTCAGAGTTTCTTTTGAGTTTTAAACTACATGTTAACAGGCTTCTTTAATATACTGTTCCACAAGTAGCATGTCAGATGGTCTCTTCTTTGCACAGGCTCCTCTATTGGGTCTAAACGTTAGCTTTATGAAGAATATATTTAGATTTAACCATATCACATTGACCTCAGTGATATGGTTAAAACTAAAGACTATATTCCAAAACTCTGGAGTGTAATGTGTTAACATATTAGGCTTAACGCTAAGGGAGGAATAAAGTTCAGAAGTAATATATTTTTCTCTCATCTTCAAATGTTCATGTGAATTTAATGAGTGTTAGTGGGGGTTACAGAGAGGTTCTGAGAAATACTAGTAGAGTGACTTCCCCAAGCTCACTTTGAAGTAATAGTAGAATCAAGGACCATTGTTATATAGAAGAGTTTGTGTGTCTGCAGATTCAGGAATCAAGAATACATAACCTTCTAGATGTGCATGAATTGAGGAATACAGACAAAATGGATCAGCAGATTGAATGCACATTTGTTGCGTAACAGCTTTAGAAGCCCTAACTAGCATATGCCATTGGAGAAGAAAGTATAAATAGGAATCCTGGTCTGTATTAAAGTTGGTAAAATTTAAAGTCATTTTCAACCATTTCAAGAGAGTTAATTAAAACAAAAACAAAAACACGAAGTATGAATCTTCATGAATTATGCCCGAGAAACTGCTTACATAGTCTCCTTGCTACCTGCACTCATTGTTAAACATACAAGAGAAAAACAAGAAACTGAAAGCAGTCGACAAAATATGTTGAAAACTTTGCCCTGAGTGGGGATCAGACTGGCTGTTTTTAAGTCTGAAGTCAGCTGCATAGATTGTGCACGTTGGTGGCCAGCAGCGTCTTTCAGCAGAGCATTTCTGCGGAGAAAGGCAAGACACAGGGTTTCAGTGTTGATTTCCTGACGGCCCCTTGAATGTAGATAGAGCTGATAACAAAGCATCCAAGACAGTTTTATTTGCCAAAACCCAAAACTTTTTGAGTTCTTCTGAACAACAACCACAGTGTTTCTGTAAACTTTTTTCCCTCAGTGAACTCTTTATGAACCTTTTTTTTTTAGAGAGCAGCAGTGGTTCAAATGTTGGGAACCACTGACATATCTGACTGAGATGCTTCAAGATGCTAGAACCTATTCACATTTCTTTCTAGCCAGGGAGCTGATAAGATCAAGTTTGTCTTTGTGGATTGATCTAGATTAGCACAAGATGAGCCCAGTCAGTATCTTCGTCAGTGAAAAAGGAAAGGTTGGGAGAGAGAGAGGGGTGAAGGAAGAAAGTTCTTCATCAAGAATTGACTGCAGTATTGCCTGCTGATGCATGTCGGATCACCCGCATGGAGAGATCACATGGCTTCTCCAAAAGTCAAACGATCAATTCGCCTCGTTTTGGCTCTGTACTTAATGCACAAACAGTGCGATCTGCGGGGCTGTAATTGCATTGTTAGGGCCAAGGAACAAGCCTGTGCCTTTTCAGCAGACAGCTGGCAGGGAGAGAGGCATGTTGTTAGGAAAGAGAGAGGCAAGGCAAATAAAATTACTGCTAACGCTCAGAGATCGGCAGGAGTCCTACTTGCCTAATCTTACCGGTGGGAGCAAGCGGCTGTTGTAATCCAATTATAGCAGCATAAGCAATTTGTTAGACACTCCGCATAATGTAACAATTTCCCAATAAACTCTGACTTGTAATAACGTCGGCAAGAGTCCGCATAAATCTGCCCGAATGGTGGGGGCTGGAGCGTTCGGCTGGGGGCTTGTAATTGGCGCCATCAGCACGTTTTGCGGAGTGCAGTATGGTGCAGTCTTTTAGTGCAGGAATTTTAAGGAGAAACGCATGGCACACGTTTCTTAGAAAAAGAAAAGTGGCCATTAAAAGGGGAGCAGCAAGAAGGGCATACTCTTGCCTTCACATTACCTAGGAATCTTAGTAGAAAGAAAACAGGAGGAAGCCATGTTTCCTTCTAATACTAAAGGGGGGAGAAGGGGCGAGAGTGTGTGGATTAAATTCCTTTATTTAAAAGGCATTGGTTTCTATTATTTATACCCTTCTTCTCCAGCCCCCAAAATGCTGTTGAGGCAGCATTTAGCTTAACATTTTTACGAAATGTTCATAGCCAGGCAAGACTAGAAACACGAAGTTAAATCAGTTTTTTTCTAGAGTTTAGCTTTTTCTATATAACAGGAAAATAATTTTCTTTGTGCCCAGAACACATCTTTTAAAGGTATTATCTCATTGAATATCAGACCTCTCTGCAAAGTTCTGCCTTTAAGGAACCGTCTCTTACTGAAGGGTTTTTAAAACCCAGCTTGTTGTTTGTTTAGCGGGCTTTACTACACTGCTTATTTTCCAATTCTGGAATATATTGTGAATACCTAGAATTAGTCATCTTTCTTGTTGAAAATTTACATTGTACAAGAATACAGTTTTTCTTATTTAAAACTATACCTGTGTGATTATTACAGAAATAATTATTATTCCTAAATCATAACATTTTTGTTTTGGAAAAATATTTGTTGTTGTGTGGAGAAAATAGAACCTCCATTATTTATTGACTGATTAGCATTTGTAGTGACAGAATAGAATTTCTTATTTATATGAGGTATAGGAGGTAGAGAGTACTCATAGATTTGAGTTAATAAACAGATTTTCATTCTACTGAGTGTACATTAAATGTTACCTACTTTCTTATGTCAACCCAACTCTTCATTGTTTTTAATTTATGTCCAAACTAAGCTTCTGGAATAACAGGATTCTTCAAAATATCATAATGCTGCGGGTATTATAACAATAAATATTTACTTTCAGTATAAACATTTTCATCTACTAAAGCAAATGCTGCCTTGTTTGGCTGGAGCTACATCAATAAACTGCTGTACCTCTAATAAAGCCACTCAGTGTCTAGGTTTAACTAATGGCTGATTTTCATGGCTTTGACAGTGAGCTGTGTGCGTTATTTTCTCCTGATATTGTAAAAATAATGAGAGCAAATTAGAACAATCAGTTTACACAGATAGCTCCTGATTGGGGGCGATGGGCAATATGGCAGCAGGTAATCCATCTTCAGGCTCCTGTCACATTAACTTCAGCAGTGTGAAAAGATCAGGTGGGGTAGGCAGGGATCCTGCCCAATCGGAACACTGAAATTAATGAGAAGAGCATTGCTCTGTGATCAACCTTTTAATTAGCAGGACTGGAAACGGAGGGAGTGATGAAGACAGCACCACAGCTGCACAATGCCAGGCACAATTCCTGAAAAGGGAAAGGAAAAAAAATCTATGGGTTTTAACATCATACTTTTCTTGCAGCATACAGGCATTGTTTCCACTCTACAGCTGGTTCACAGACTTTAAGAAATACTGCCTACTTTTCAAAGTAATGTCACAAATATCGTTGATGTGTTAATGATCTATAGGCTATAATTTTATCACGGGTCATTTAGGATTTTGATTACCAGCACACTTCTTTGCCATTGCAGTCTGGGTTTTAACTTTTGAATTTTTTTTTAAATCAGGTAACCGGAGAAATTAAAAAGGACTGCCTTGTCAACCTCCCACCACCCCACCCCTCCAATTTAGCTGCAAATAGCATGAGAGTTTTCCGGTTTGGAGCACTTCTGTCGTTTTTAGTTTTTTTAAACAGGAGAAAAATTCAGGCAGTAAGCTGTGGTATATTTAAATTGTATTCCTTTCCTGATTCTGTTTATTAGGAAATTTGCTGTTTTTTCCCCCTATGCCATTGATTCTCAGTGTTGGGGGCTGTGTTATTTCAATTTATATAATTGAGAATTGAGTATTAATGAATGGTGTTTATAGGAGGAAAGGGGGATCTATGTAGTAACTGCGACTAAAGGCTTGATTCATTCATTTAAAGCTCAATTATACTAAAATTGTAATCTTGTTGATAATCTCTGTAATATTGGAAAATATGGTATGAGCCTACGGAAGACATTAATGAGCCAAATTTTCTCTACCAAATCAGTGCCTGTTTTCTGGGCCTTCTTTATTTATCAGGCTGTAACTTTAGGAAAGTATATGAGGCCATCAGGATTTGCGGTATTTTAGTCTTTATACCTTAAGCTTAGTCACTTACTATAAAAGCAAGTAATATAATGTAGGCGATATAAAGAACCCAGATATTTTCCAAAGATATATAAATTAAACTCGTTTTCTTGATATTAGAAGTTAATTGACTTGGGCATTTATTTAAAGTATTAATATATAAAAAATCAGTTATCAATTCCATATCTGAATATGGAATTAGCAGGAAAGAGCCTAAAATATGGTGCAAAATATTCAGGTTAGGTGTAAGGCGATCTTTTTTCCATCGTAGTTAACAGGACTTTTTCCTAATATGTTTAATGGTGATTCTAGCCTTGCAGCCCCTAAGATACTATATTTACAGAATGTAAGTCCCTGATATTATATACTTCTGTGCAAAACTCACAGAACAAAGGCACTTCCATTTCCCCCTAGTACACATCTCCCTACCCCTCTTCCTCCCAAAATCATTAGTTTAGTTTTGTTATTTTTGTTGTTTTCGCTGAAGAGATTTTACTGAAAACATTCATTTAGACTTATAAGTATTTTAGGGTCAGTGACTTAATACTAAATAGCCTCTAGGACTTCTCTATGTTCTTTAAGAGAATGGTGCTGCTGTGCATACTAATATTTTAAAGACCACTTGTTAGAATTTTGCATGATACTTTTCTGCATTCCTTTATCTGGAAGAGAGATTTTTATTCTTATAGCTTTTATGGATTTATGGCATTTCATTCTCCTCTCTCCTAGTTTGACAGTTTCAGAAGCTTGGGCTCATAAGCTCTCCCATGAATAAATATGTTCTTAGTTATATGATATAAATAGATCACTTACAAAGCTTGTGAAACCTGAGCTCTCCTTTTGAACCTTTCAGTACCATGAGCTCAGGATCCATACATGTAGAATTTTATTCCTGTGTCGTGACTTCAGCTTTTAAGGCAAATGAACTATGAATTTAAATTGCTATTCTACTCTATACCAAGTTTCTACAAAAATAGAACTATATTTTTCTCTTTTTCCTATGATTCTAAATCCCATTTGACTTAGTAATCTTACCAATAGTTGTTCTTGTTGTTAGAATTCTTTTCCAGTAAAATTCGCTTCTGAAGGTAAGTGTTAAAATAGACATTCTTTTTTTGAGGTCATCTTTTTTTGTTGTTTTATACTAATAATTACAGAAATGTCCAATTGACTGAATGACCAGTAAACTCCTTTTTAAATGTCCTGACAGAGCTAGAGTTACCAAATCACCTTAAATTCTGCAAATCCCAAATCTTAATAGGGCTCACTTCAGAAAAATTTTCATTAGTCTAGTCTTTGGAGCTCACCCAATACACCCTGAATTAAAGTTCTCATATATGTAACCAGGTGAATCTCTAAGGCTGTTATAATCCTAAATTCCCCATTCCCCCCTGCCCCGATTTTGAGTTTGAGTGGTATGTTCCTATATAAGGAGCTTGAAAATATCCATTTTCCTTTTTGTGCATCTTCAGGATGGAAGACCTTTATCTCTGCCCCGCCCCGCCCCTACCCCCTATTCCCCCCAGGTTTTGTACTACTCAAAATTCAAGGAGTAGAGAGAATACTTTAATACTTATTAAGCCCCTGTGTTTGGGTGCTATAGTGCTACTGTGTTACGTATTTCAGTCCCTGTGTGAACCTGGTGAGCTGGATGATATTACTCCTATTTTACAGATAAGGAATCTTAAGCTTAGAGAAGTTAAACCTTTTCCCAAGTTTTCACACCTCTAAGTTGTAGAGTCAAGTTTTGAACACAGATATCTGACTTCAGAGTCCTTGTTCTACTACATCCTTTTGCCTTTCAAGTAGTATTTGGAGGCCCTGTGTATCTTTACTATCATACTTGGTCTCAGGACTCAAGTACTATGAGTACTATAGCTTTTCTCCATTTGATTTCTATAGCACTTTTGACATCTAGCAAATGTTATTTCTTTGATCTTCCCTTCCCCTGCCCCCACCTACTACTTGTAAAAGATCTTGTTGTGACTGAACTGAGCCAAGTACTGTATTCAGAAAACTTAACTACAGTAATATCTTGGTTTGCGAGCATAATTCATTCCAGAAACAAACTACTCGTATTGCAAGACATCGCTCGTTTACCATGTTAAAATGTATTAGAAATGTCTGCTCATCTTACGGAACACTTGCAAATCCAAGGTTTTACTGTATTTTTATTCTGGGTTACCTAGTCAGTAATTCTACTATGTAACTTTAAATGCTTATTCAATAATAATCACCTACCTTATAAACATAGGTCTTTAAAGGATCTAAGATGACCTTATGGCTCCATGTTCCATTGTTGTACATATAAAATGAGTGGAACAGTATGAGGCCAATACTACTGGTTCAAGGTGGTGATTCATACCTTAGTAATTGTTGCAGAAGTTGTTTTGGAATACAGATCTTATCCTACTGTGACAGGATTTACCGTGTAAGCATACATTGGCAGTTCTTTTATACCAAAAATTTGTTTTTCCTGGTTAAGATTGGTAATTAATTTTGCTAATTAAAAAAAAAATGTCTCTTAAGATTTCAAAGCCCAGGCTCTGATTACACTTCAGTAAATATTTTTATATTTGTATGCATGCTTCTAAATAGTTTGGTGATTGTGAAACCATGATGAGGGTATCAGTTACAATAGTTGGAACTTGAACTCCTCTATCTGTTTCAGACAGAAGAGAGGAAGCTTGGGACAGGAGTGATTAAGAAGAAATAGGTTCACCAAAAGCAAATGAAAACAAAAACAAACATGAATATTATGGCGTGTGTGTGTGTGTGTGTGTGTAAAATCTCCCTGGATATTCTCTAATGGAAATAATAGAAGTTTTTGATAATTACGGTTAACATCAATTTCATGCTTAGGCTTATAAAATATGTAAGAAGCACTTGCTCACATGGAGTGCTAAGACCATGACAAACAGGAATGTTAAAATAGTTCAAGAAGAATGAACATAAATTTAATTATGTTTTATATTTCAGATATCACTTCTTTAACTTTATCTACATTTTCTTGTAATATCTAATAGCATCAGAAATTTAATTATAAAGTAGTTTTTTAACAAAAAAAATACCTGGGAACAAGCCAAAAAGGAAATATAGAGAGAAAACCATGTTTAAAAAGAGATGGTTCCTACAGTGTTAACTATGGAGTGTGTAGCGTGACTCTGTAATGGAATATCATGGCAGGGGGTATAATACTGTAAATAAAATGAATATGCCACTTGTGGATTAATGGGCAACCTAAAGAGTGGCTTTATTTACATCTATGTGTGAGGTTCATTTTCAGCTTGTGTTTTGTCTTATTCTTGTGATTGGAGCACTTAAGAACCTGACAGTTTAATTAAGGAACTGTTTTAAAAAATCAGTTTCCTTGACTCTTGGGGGGTATGTGTGTGTGTGTGTGTGTGTACATATATGTATATATATGTACACACACATACACACACATTATTTTTGGTAGGATTACTATAGTGTCATTTTAGACTTTAAAATTGATAGGTAGAAGGAATTTTCTTTAACTTTTTCTCTGGGTTAATAAGGAGAAGAGGTGGGTTCTGAAATTAAGTCCAAGAAATACAGCTATTTTTTATAATTTGTTATGAAGGATAAGAATTAGGTGTAGACACTTCATGTATCCAGATTACAGTGGATTCCATTTGCAGTGATACAGTTTTGTAGATATGGGATGCTTTTCAACGGTTTGGGTACTGAGTAATTTAAGCTTAAATACATCTAGTCTGGGACACTACAGGAGCCACGGTGTCAACATTATAACCTGAGAACATACAATAAGGGTAAATTCAAAGTGAGAGCTTTATATAACCTTTTTTACTTAGCTGTCTAGGTTGCTTTTGATTGTCAATTAATACTATTGTTTATTGCTCTTGAAATTTCAAAAGTTTGGAGTATTATTTACTCCCTGCTTCCCCTCAATTGAAAATGTGTGATAAAAGTTACTTATAAAAAGGAAATTATGGGCCGGCCGAGTGGCGCGATGGTTAAGAACTCGCTTGGGATGCCAGAGGGCCCCGGTTCGGATCCCACATATGAGGGCCAGTGACACTGCCCTCCACAGCTAAGATGCTGAACAACAGCTCAACCTGGAGCTGGGCTGCCATGAGTCGCCGGCGACGGCGTGGGCTGTAGTCCCTGTGGCAGTGGATTGCCATGGGCTACCATGTGTGGCCAGCA